CCGCCGCCAGGAAGGCGGCCCGGCCCGGCCCGGCCCGGCGGGGGGAGCCGGAGCACGGCTCCGGGGAGCAGCTCCTGCCCCTGTCCCGCTCGCTAAAGCAGCCGGTCCAGCAGCCCACCTGTCGGCATCTCAGTCCAGGCCCCTCTTCGCAGCGGCCCTGGCCGCCGTGACTCAGCGCCGGCGCGCTCCTTATCTTCTGACTTTATTTGGCCTTATCTGCGGGCTTTCCGCACGCAAGAGATGACAAGTTGTTTGGGTTTTTTTAAAAACAAAAACAACTTTGCGCAACAGTCAGTCAGGGCCGGTCCAACCCGGGTGGTCCAAATGTTGAGGGGGTGGGGGGGGGAATGATGTGCAGAACAAAATAATAGGAACATCCTTCTAAACAAGAGCCCTGGCGGGCTATGGCTCCACCGTGGTCCAAGACCTCAAGGGAGAAAGACCTCCAAAAAGATGGCTAGAATGGACCTCCATCACAGCTACAACGCCTGGTTACCTCCACATAGCTACATCAAGGGCTTGGACATGGCTTTAAGTGCACCTCATGGCTGTCTTGCACTCCACCCGTGACTCGTACCTTTTCAACTCTCGAGGGGGGTTCGGATAAGAGACGCTAGCAACGTCATCCTAAAAGAGATATTGGAAGTGGTGTGGGCGCCGATTACCCTGGGACCAGCCCTGGATCCCGTGCTGCAGCAGCTCTCCATGCAGCTCTTCTGCTCAGACCCTGGAAGAGAGGCCATGCTTCAGTATCAGGGCCCGTGACTGAGAGAAGCGCAGAAAATGAGGGAGCTTAGCCCTGAGGTGTGGACGGGGTTGTATAATCTTCTGATGAATGTGTTGCATCCTTCAGTCAGTGTGCTAGAGGCAGTATCTTTTATTAGACCAACCTGTTGGAAAAAAAAAAATCTTTATTTACAAGCTTTCAGGCACACATGCCCTTCCTCAGGCACAGGAGAGTGCAAAGATTGTAAAATTACATCCTTCACACACTTCTGCTTTGTGCACGAATTGCCAAGCAGTTCACATTTGACCAATGCTGCTATATTGCCTGCAATGAGAGAGGAGGCAAGTTGTCCAAAGTCACGCAGCAAGTCAAAGGTCAAGTTGAGAAGAGACCCAGATGTCAATATTAGTACTCTGGCAACATGAAGACATTATCCCCCCACTCCATACTATGGAAAGTGAATCCCTTTTCAAAGGGCTTTCAAGTCTGTGGAGAAAAGGGCCAAGAATTATTATCTGTCAAAACAGACGCTGTTACTGCTCGCTTGCTGTGTGCCACACAGGAAAATTAGGCACGTGGTTTAGTACTGCTAATCCCTAGCAATTTGTAAATAATGAATCACGCCCCAAATAATATGATACTGATTTTTTTTTAAATCTTTAGACCTAAAAAGAATGGAAAATGTATTAAATTTAATTTTCCTTTGGGTTTTCAGTCTTTTAGGATGCATATTTAGGAGCCTTTTCCCCTGCCAACCATGTAAGTTTGAAACTTGCTTTAAAAAAATTAAAGCTGAGGTTGTTACTTTGCAAAAATACAGCCCTTAATATTACAAGAAATATGAAAAAAAGTTGTTAGAATTTGCACAGAGGAGACATGACAATATGCTTTTCACAATATTTTCCAATCTGCTCACATTTTGGAAAAGCAGTCAGAAGAGGCATAGAAACATCTGTCTATCTATCTAGCTCCATATCTTGTCTCTGCTCTGACCATCACCACATTCATCAAAGAAAGACACAAGAACCATAAAACCAATGCGAAAGAACCTATCTATAAGTATTGCCAGTGTTTAGTATCTAATGACAGTTACAAAATGGCAGATAGTTAACACTGTATCAAGACACATCACAGAACCAATCAAAACAGTCTAAAGTCCATCCTCAGCCTTGTGGCTTATTGGGTTAGCAATACAGTATACCAGTTTCTATAAGGAACAGCACATAGGGGAACAAAATCTCTCACTGCCTGGCTGAAATGATCAGATAACTCTTTGCAGCTGGGTTGATCCAGGACAACCTTCAACACAAGTCTAGAGTGAGGTTTGAAATCATGCTTTTGTACCTGTAGCATCCAGCTCTATGGGCTGTGATGAAGATAGTTTTGCCACATTGCCACCATGTCCTTTCTATGACTGATGCCAGGTAGTAAAATGTAGTCTCTAATCCAAACACCTGTTAGTCAGTGGTTACTTTATGCCATGATAACACAAGTGTTTATCCATTCTTTAAAACAGTTTCCAGCAGCATCCGGAAGGATGGGAGGACCAGGGCAGCTGCCCTAGGCACCAACTTGGGAAGTGGAGGAAGGGAGGAGGTGGAAAAATATTTGCTGCTGCAAGCCACACAATAACACTGGTGGTATGGTGGCAGCTGGAAAGCGCTGCTGCCCCCATGCATGGCACTGCCCTGGGTGTCCAGTTGCTTTGTTATGACTGATAATTTTGCTTTATCTAATGTGGTTACAGATGTTTTCATTGCTATAAATGTTTAATCCTGTTTGAAGCCTACTAAGGTTTTGATCACAAGGTTATGCCATGGTAACAATTTCCACAGATTAATTTTCCACTGTGTAAAAATGCATTATCTTTTATGTTTTATTGTTTGTTCTTCAGTTTCTTTGAATGTCCACTTGTTCTTGGATTATGAAATAGCACTCCATTTACCTTCCCCCTATAATCTATATTTCCCTTATGACTTAAAAGAGACTATTTATATGAGTGCTTACAGGGCCAGGCTTTTCACAGGAAGTTTAACATCTTGACAGCAAGCATATATATGACACTAATCCAGCGTAGAACTCTAGCTATCCTGTGAGGACAGTTTGGCATTCTGATTTGTGACAAAGAGAAATTTAGTAAAGTTTTGCAATCCTGTTTGCGTGTCAACACTCTGAAAAAACAGAAGGCAAATACTGAAAATCTCCCTGATGCTGAATTTTGTGCTAATACCAATCTTTTAAGACAGTTTTCACCAAGGAGATTACTTAAAATGAAACATGCATTAATCAACATTAGGAAATAGTTTCTCTTTTTTATAGGTGATGTTTATTTTATTATTACAAATATGTTACTTTAGATGCTAAAGTGCTTTGAAGTTAAGAGATTTAGAATTCTTTTTCTTTTTAATATATTCATATTATTGATTATACTATTCTGAACAGCAAAATAAAGTAATATATCAGGCTGAAAAAGGTTTCCATATCTTTAATGGATCCATCAGTTGTATCCAAGAATACTGGATATCAGGTTATATACTTATCTGAACCTTTTCTTTAATCAGCATTGTAACTGATATGTATATCATTATTAGATGCAACTATGGAAATTATTCATACTAAAATATCAAAAGATGTAGAAATGAATAAGATAATAATTTTGTAAAGCTAAGGGGAGAGATGCAGAATATAATTGAGTTATATTTATACATTTAATTAAATATACTGATAGAAGAATTGTGCAATTTGGTAATTTCGTGGAAGCAGAAATATACATTTTAAAATGCAGTAAGATGGAGAACAAGAAAATTATTCTATTATATATTTGAGATGATGCAGAACATAGGTGACATTTGTCTTTTGTGAAGTTACCAAATCACAAAGAATTATTGTTCTTTCTCTGTACTGTAGCAAGGGTGGGGCAAGCAGGGCAACTGCCCTGGGCACCAAAGTCCAGCCGGTGCCAAGCGCAGGATGGAGCCGCAGGTGGCTTGTTTGTGGAGGCATGAGGACAGGGGAAGGACAGCTCCCACCTCTGCGTGCACTCCTGGGCAAGCAGCGGGGGGCACGCCCCCCAAATCTGTGCACAGGGCAAAGGCAGACTGCTGCTGCAGACTTTGCCCCGGGCACCAAACTTCATCGCTATGGCACTGTTCTTCCTTGTTTCATTCTGTGTGTTATTCTTTATGGAACAATTCCTAGGAAATTCTCAGAGTTCCACTTCCACAAGTGCTCAACTTTTTACTAGACAAAGCTATAGGGCAGAAATGATCCCAAAGGAAAACCATGGGAAAACTGAGTGCAGATATGGTGGATCAGGTCACTATAAAATAAGACTCCCACCATGTTACTGAGGAGAAGAGGGGTAGAGAGAGATGGGACACCTTTAAAAAGACTCTGATCAGAGCCCTGTAAGAGCTGCTGCCAGACTCCAGGGCCCTGTGAAAAGGATGGCTCTGGGATGCTATAGGAGCTGCTGAGACTGGAGGAAACTGCTGTCCTTACCTCAGGTACTGAGAGTGCAGCCAGACCACAAAGCCAAAAAGCTGCAGGACTCCAGGCAGTAATCAACAGGCCACTAATTGGATAATGACTGCAATTGAGCTGAAGACTCTGCTAATGAGACCTATGAAAGAGAACTGAGGCAACCTACTGGGAGAGAGACAGGTCAGGTGGTAAGAAGAGGAGGGGCCAAATGCCTTATAAGTCCAGACCCACTAATAAAACCTCAGACTGGGCTTTGCTAGGAAGATTAAAGAGTGAGGTATGTAGAACTGGGAGTTAGAGAAGCCCTGCAGGAAGTCTGATGAGTTGAATGATTTCTGCTGATGTTTTAAATTCTCTGAGGCTTGAAAGTGGCTGGGGGGTGGCAGGATGGTGTTGTAGGTTTGTATTTAAGACTGCTAAGGCATGTGAGTGAAAGGAGCCTAAACTCTGCAGGGTCATAGCCAGGCCCAAGGATTGCAGGCCAACTTTGCGGTTGTTGAAGGCCCAAGAAGGCTGTGAAAGGCCCATGAGCCTAGAAGTCTGTGAAA